TCTAATTTACCACAGGAGCACTTTTATCACGCTGACACTGATGTACTGATGGCTTCGAAGCTGGTGCGGATACTCATGTTCGCGAGGATTTTCAGTATGATCCGTTTACTCCGTGTGCCGAAGCTTCTGAGATTCTGCTTTGAATTGGAAAGTGTAAGTTGCAGTATCACATACGTGTATGCAGGAAATTATCAATGGCAGTACTGTGTTTTTCACAATGGATAGCCAGAAAACAGCTTCCCTGCCACAGTCGCCTTTGCTTACTGGGGCGAAAAAAGAATGAAATAAAATAAATTAAGATTTTTTTTTTAAATGCTAAATTATGACATGGAATTTAAGATATTATTAGAGTGATGAATAATGCAAAGTGCTATATAAATCAACTGAATAAAAATAGGTTCGAATAAAGAACAAGAACAGCCTAAAATTGTTTATTTTGATTTATTAGGTGAAAGGATTCTTGACCACTCTAACTGACAATCTCATAGTTCCATACAGTAGATATTGTGGTATTGTCTCGCATTTGTCCAATAAACCAACAAGCGACAGGTTGTATTTTGTACACCCTTACAGTTCTAATGAGACTTTAAGTTCTGACATTGTCTATGTTATCGGTCATTCTAGGTCTCTGACATACAGCTTGAAGAAGTCAAGAGGTTTTTCAGGGTGTTTTTCGTGTTCCTGTTGAAGATCCTCATTTGGCACTGGAACACATGTGTTCAGTACTTCATATCTCTGCTGGACGAGTTTCCCCAAGACTGCTGGGTCATGCAAGAGAATATCAAGGTATGTCTCGATTTGTATTGTGCGTATGCAGGCATTTATTGATGTGATGCTTAACATTTGTTATGTTTTGCAGAATGCCTCAATTGGGGAAAAATACTCCTATTCTTCCTTCAGAGCTTTCTCTCAGTTGGCCTGGATTTCAACTAATTCAATTCAATCGCCAACACGTATATCACACAACATTCTTTCAACATTGAGCAATTTTGAGAAAAGATCATTTAATTTTTGGTGCAGAAAAAGAACTCCTGAAAACACTTTAATTGTGGCATTAGGGATTAGGGATGAAAATAGCAACAAATGCACTGGTACCTTTGCGGAATCAGGTTTTGCATGAGCGTTTAAATGGAGTTCAAGTGATTCCCTTTTGTTTTTTAGGCATGGCGGAACGGTGGACGGCTGTTGTTAGCATGGTGGTTGGATATTTAATGTGTTTCGCTCTTATTGCCTGCTTGTTCACAACTGTGGGGAGCATGTCTGCGACTGGCAATGAATACAAGAAAAAGGTGCTCTTAAGTGATTTTGTAAGAGTTTAAAACTAAAGCTGATATTTATTCAACAAAATAAATACATGAATTAAAAGCATGACATATGAATATTACAGATCAGCCAGCTACAATCCTCCAAAATGTTCAAAAAGCTGCCCAGGGCGTTGCGCCAACGCACCACTGCCCAGTACAAGTGGCAGTATGATAAGAAGAACATCCTTGACCTGGTGTCAAAACGGCTGAGAAAGGTTTCTAATTCATTCATATGTGCATAGAAATAAGCAACGGTCTGTACCTCAGGGTCACGCTCACTGGTTTACTCAACAAACAAAATAATCTGTTTTTATATAGAAATCATTTTAATAGTGTTCTGTTTTCTCTTTCAAAGGATGTTATGGCAGATATGTGTCCCAACCTGCTGAGCAAAGGCTCCATGTTCATAAAGCATGATAGAGAATTCACCGAAGCCATCTTGGTGAAGTTGGAGTACGAGTTATTCAACACAGGAGACATCATCATTCATCAGAACGCTCGAGCTGACCACATGTTCTTCATCGAGCATGGACAGGTGCTCGTGAAGAACGAATCCTTTCAAATGGAGCTGCACGATGGAGAACATTTTGGAGGTGATGCATGAGAAACCTGCTGGAGTATGATTCAGTGAGAAGTCAAGGCGGGTCCACATTTCAGTTCTGGCCTTGAAAGAGAACGTAAAGTGACCATTTGATGTGCCATTTAGCCATGGTTTTATCTGAGAGATATTAGAACAACATTAGACTGGTGCGTGAAAAGAAGTGACCATTTGATGTGCCATTTAGCCATGGTTTTATCTGAGAGATATTAGAACATTAGACTGGTGCGTGAAAAGCCCAAAATAATTCATATAATGGTGATGATAATCAGAAATTCAGTAATTCCAATCAAAACCGTTCTTCTTTCTTTCTTTCAAACCTGACAAATTTCAGCAAATCTAAGCTGCGTCCCAAAAAGAACAAGTAATTATTTTGTGACCATTAAAAAGTACATTCGATATAGTAGTGCGTGTTATTATGAACGAAGACTGGACATGTTGTAAAGTGTCCATCGGATGCGCTTGTCAGTTGCTCTCTGGAAGTAGCAGGTCATTCGGGTGCATTTCGCCTCTACTATCATTTCAGACATACTACTCTTTTCACCTACTGTATAGAAGGGAAGTAGGTATATTCGGACCCAGGGCCAGTGATTAGTTCAAAGATGATCTTATTTATTATTGAGAGATATCGAGGTCCACGGCTCTACCAAATGTGACCCTGGAGCACAAAAGCAGTCTTAAGTCGCTGGGGTATATTTGTAGCAATAGCCAAAAATACATTGTATGGGTCAAAATTATCAAATTTTCCTTTATGCCAAAAATCATTAGGATATTACCGGTAAGAAAAGATCATGTTCCTTGAAGATATTTTGTAAATTTCCTAATCATTAGGATATTAAGTAAAGATCATGTTCCATGAAGATATTTCATAAATTTCCTACCGTAAATATATCAAAACTTAATTTTTGATTGGTAATATGCATTGCTAAGAACTTCATTTGGACAACTTTAAATATGATTTTCTCAATATTTAGATTTTTTTGCACCCTCAGATTCCAGATTTTCTAATAGTTGTATCTCAGCCAAATATTGTCCTATCCTAACAAACCATACATCAATGAAAAACTTGTTTATTCAGCTTCAGCGAAAAACTGACCCTTATGACTGGTTTTGTGGTTCAGGGTCACAAAAGGTTCTCAGTGAGATGATCTCTGCTGCAAAACTCCCACGTGTTTCAAACGGGAGTAACCAGCCTCATAATCACCATTTTAAGACATTGTGTGTTTCTGCAGAGATCAGCTTCCTGTTCGGCGGAAGGCAGTTGGCCACAGTTTCTGCTCTGACCGCCTGCAGCCTTTTCTCCCTGTCGTTACAACAGTTTCAGGAGATTGAGGAAGAGTTTCCACATGTTGCGAACGAACTGAGGGCAGCAGCTCAACAGCTTAAAAATTATCTTGAAGGTAAGTCCGACATTATGAGTTGCTTTCATACAGAGGACAGAATCAACATGAAATGCTGCTCACAATTTTACTTCTGCAATGTTACATATTTCCAAGAGAAACTGAATTTTAATAATACTAATGGGTTTAATCATTTACTAATGAGGACTAGAAAGAAAGACTAATGATTAAGTAAATACGGTACATTTTGATTGCATAATGATTTTAAGACTTCGGTTTATTAAAGGTGTTGAGCTGGAACTTCAAGTTACATCAACATCGACCAGTGTGTGAGACGACAGACCAGGATCTAGTTTTGTAGTCAAATAGTCATCTATTGAATAAGATTAAAAAAATTATTAAATACAATTTTAACTGGGTTTTTATATTTTTACGTATAGTTTCAATGCTTAAGGTGATGTAATTATATGATTTTAATTATATCATATTTATTTGAATGATTATTAATATACTTGACAATACATATAGCAATACAATAAAGTATATGTATTACGTTACATGTTCTCATTCATTCACAATAAATTATCAGTGCACTTTTGGGTTTAATCTCTTTATTAGCAAGGTCTCTGGTAAACGTTTCTGTTTCCTCCAGGGGGCGCAGTTCATATACATAAATCTCCTTTAGAACCTCATTCTAATCTCAACACGGTTTTTTTGTACACTACAATTTATCATCTTTTCAGCATATTCATTACAAAAGACAGAAATCAGCCCCAACAATCTGTAAAGTAGTTTAAATATGTCGTATTCAGGACTCTGGGTCTGTGATTAGTTCATTCTGAGCAGTGTAGAGTAAAGCAGCAGGGCCACGTGACAACACAATGCAATTATTAAACCGTACTGGAAATTGTCCGTAGGGCTGCACAATTAATCAAATTTCTAATCGCGATTACAATTATGGATGCCACAATTACGTAATCGTTCAAAGTCCACTTATGTTATTCTGCGTGCTTAAGATGCGTTTTTTTCTTTCTACATGTTATCTGAGGGGTTTTTCCCATTATTTTAATTGTAGTATAACATTATAATACCATTCATATTTTAACTTTTTTATAATTTAAAGAAGAAACCAATCCGATGTATAGTTGACATTTGAGGCTTAATACTATAGAAAAGCACTAAAGGTTTATCAGCTTGTTTATTTTCATATAAAAATACGGCATGCAGTTGCATTAAACAATGGTATAAACATCATTCAATGTAAATTGTGATAATCGTAATTAATAATCGCAATTACAATTTCAAGGCAATAATCGACAATTATGATTTTTGTCATAATCGTGCAGCCCTAATTGTCAGTTTTGTATTTATTTACTTTGGTTAACGCACTTATTTACATGCTTCAGTTCTTTAATTAAATATTACTATATAAATACATTTATTATTATTATTAATCAAGTAAACAGAGAAAATAGACATAACAAGCAGCAAGGGAAACGAAACGCATTCTATCCACTTATTCTTTTTGTTTCAATGTAAATCTGGTTTTCTTAGATGGAGTCGACGGTTGTCTTCTACAAAAGGATAAAGATTGTAAGCGCATTGCTAAACTAAAACCAGAAGCTTTTTGTGAGGCAATCAGTGCATTATGCAATAACACAGCCGGGCTCATCTGTGAATCTGTGCTGCAATTTCAGATTTCATCAGACATCAGTATTTCAACACGCGTCAGCTCAAAAAGTGCATACGACAATATCATAATAAATAATAAAATATATTTATTTTTTCAAATAGAGTTTCAGTATTTGGCACAAAAGATCGTGTTTGGCACTGATTCAGTGTTACAGGCACTACAGTAGAATAAAGCACTTTGGAAATGATTCTGTAAACGAAACCGAAATGTCCACAGAAGATTAAAAACATTCACTCAAAATTCATTTGCTTTGCTTTTGTGAAATGGAGAGACTGTAAAGAGATGAGATGAGCGCAATCTACTGGCACTGTACAACCATTTTTTGAGAAATATTACCATCATTTACAGTATAGATGCGGATATTTAATCTAAACAACATTCCAAATCAAATCCTGTGTTTAAATGGCAGTAGATCTTCATGAACCAGCGACCGGAAATACAGAAAAACCACAACCAACACCTGGTGAATGTCTAAACAAACGTACAATACAAATCAACCACTAACCTAAAAATGAATACAATAACAGCTAAATACTTATTTTACTTGTCTCTGACATCTACATGACTACAGATAACATAGTAACACATTTAAAAGTGTTAAATTCTACAAACTTGTTAAAAAGTGACATAGAAGTGAGTGCTGTTCAGTCCACTAGAGAGGGACAACCAGCACAAATTATTACAGGAACTGATCAATTCTCTCATCATTAATCTTCATGCCATTTCAAGACCATATGATGCTTTTTTTATTTTCATAATTGTTTTGAAAAGGTGGCAGGTTCTTAATGATATTTTATGTGTATATATTTAAAATATAAACATTTTAAACAAATATTTTAAAAAATATCTTTTTTAACATGCATATATTTTAAAAAATCAGATTCTCAGTGATATAATGTGGGGTTTTCATTTAGAAATCAACACAAAACTCATTTTTCTAACAACTGTCAGAATCAGAGAACTGCACTGATGCACGCATGGGTCTAGTTTTAACAATAGATGTGCACTAATAGTGAAACTGAGAGGAATCAAGCCCTTGAAACACATCTAATCTGACGCATCAAGGCTTCTGAATGCAGGATTTGGTGTAAAGTGCTCTCAAAACGTGAAGACTTGAATCTAGGTGGCTTTAGTCCATCCATTCTGAAAAAAGCAACAGTTTAACACAGTGCAGGGTCTCTGATCCTCTTCATGTACTAATGAAAAGGATCAGAGAGCCTTGGCTTCGTCTTGAATGGAATGATTCTTACGGCATTAGCAGCCGCACTTGCTCTGCTCGGCGTCACGCGGCTCTGCCAGGTTGCTGGTGCTGTGGCCGTTGGTGCGAACCATCCCGTCGGGGATCCAGGATTTGTCCACACATCTCTCCATGCGCTTCATGATCAGATCCAGCAGAACCTCCACGGCACGGCTCACGTTCTCACCGTTCGCAGCACTCGTCTCGAAGTACGGGACTCTGCCAGAGATTAGAGCACAAACCACAATTCCAATAGACTTTTGGCACTGGCTAAACTATCAATGCAATACTCGAGGCATAAAAATGTTGGGTAAAATAGTCAATTTATCACTAGCCAGCTGCTTTTATTGAAGCATTTCATTTAGTACTAAGTATATTACTACACATTTCACGATCTCAGAGGAATTTTTTTTTAAATGCAGGTAAAGGATGCATGTGATAGAAGACAGCATCGTTTTGTTGCAGAACAGCCTCCGCACTGATAAGCCCTTAAAATGTTGCCTACATAGGCAGCTCACTAGGTTTGAGAAATTAAGCAGTCTCATAAACATAAACAAACAAATGCACCAGCTTTTACATTCTTCTCTCATGATCACATGAACACTCAGCATGTCAACTGAAAATCAATCTCTTATACAGCAAAACCAAGAAAAACAAATTCTAAGCATTTTTTTTTCATATCCACTCTAAGCTAGTAGTTAAAAATAAAACCAAAAATATTATTTGAAAAAATATTATT